GGAGTAGCACACAGGCCGGAAGCAACCATAAGGCGTCAGCTCATGGAGCCGAAAGACCCACTGCCACGACAAGAAACATCTTGGGTCGTCTATAGTATCTGGTGCAGTTGCGGGCAAAGCAACTATGTCGGAGAACCTGGCAGTCTTCTCAAGACGTGAATTGCCGAACACGCGGCAGCAGTGCGGCGAAATGATGCCAATTCTGAAGTTGCCGCTCATTCAACGAGACCCTGCCATAAATTCAAATTTGATGAGGCCAAAATTCTCGCAAGAGGTGACAATCGAGTAAGCCGAGAATTACTTGAGTCATGGTTCACGGGCCCCCAATTCATCAACAAGTGCAACGATTTGTCTAATCCATATTCGGTGCTGAGACTAAATTTGGCCAAAGCAAATCGCCTCTTGGAGAACGGACAGGCCACCGCGTCATCCTACGCCAACACCACAAGGCCAGATGGTCATGGCTGACGCAACGAATCAGAACACACGCAAAACATTTATCCATTTTTCTGCACGTTTAAATTTTACGGCGGAACCCTGTGCGCACAAACCGTTTCTGCTACTGTTCTGTGAGTATGTCTCTGAAGATGAATCCGCAACGGATTTCGAAACGTCAGGCGAATAAACATATTGTTCAGTGTTCTAGTTGTCTTCTACTTCTCAAGTACTTCCCGGCACTCGCATGTTCGCTTGTATTAGCAACTCGCATCTTCGCTTGTATTGACAGATGCTGTTGATTTGCACTCGTTGACAAGCGTTCACTGACCGCTAGCGGAACTCACTTGTCCCGTTCCCCTGTTCCTTGGACCTGATTTCTCGGAACGTGACAACAGCTGCAGCAGCGCGTAGTATAAGCACCACCTGGAGTTGGGCATGAATGGCAGACGATGGCTAATGAGCTGGAAATGGCAATTCCAGTCTCCCTCGCGTTTACTGGCAATACCAGGTGATGTTTATGTTCGCCTAACCTGATGGTAACCGAGAATCTGCAGTACACTTTGTCACTTGCGATGGTCGATCTTTTGTCTTTAGTCGTTTTGGTCTCTAGTGCCTCATTTTGTCTACATTTTGAGCCTTTCACGGTGGTGCCGTAGCGGCATTCTCCATATTCAGCATGGCTCTTCGTGTCGTGACCACTTTTGTTACAGTTTTACATTCCTAAAGGATAACAGGCGGATGTGGAACGCAGCAGGTAATTAATTTATTACGTCATTCTTGTAAGTAATGCCTTCCGTAATGTGTTATGGGTCCGACATTGACCTGTGGGGTTCAGCTGATCCAGTGCAACTATCAGCGGTCCCCGTGTAGCTCTAGGTCCAGCGCTGGTGTTAAAGCTCATTTTTTTCGGTTTGCATAGGCTAAGTGCAATGTTTACAGTGCAATGTTTACATCTGTTTGCACTGATTATCTAAAAATCAGACCAAGTAAAGGGCAGTTGGCTCGAAAATCTACTTCTAATTCATGAACAGAGGAAAGGAATAGAAGTAAGCGGTGGCATCCTGGGTGTCAGCGTATGGACAAAGTTATTGATGGCTCATTCTCCGAGAATATGTATTCGCTAACACTAACCTGTAAAACGCCGTTGGTTTTAAAAGGTTTCAAAATGGAGAAAAAAGGGCTGTTTACATAGCGCATGCCTTCTTAAGTCGAAACCGGTCGGTGGCTTGTGTGAGCAGTTCGTTTGACGCAATCGTAAGCAATAGGCAGCAAAACAGAAGGTGTTATTCCGCAACTCATGTAACTGCGCAGTATGCTTGATGAAAGTACAAATGCAATAGAGTTAGGGTCGTTTCCGACGGGGGCATAGCTCAGTTGTAGAGCATTCGACTGCAGATCGAGAGGTCCCCGGTTTAAACCCGGGTGCCCCCTCTCTTCATTTTTATCCATTTGTCTCATCAGGATCCTTATAGCATTTCTACTGGTCTAATAGTGTCAGGTATTAAAGCAGCTTCTGGTTTCTAGGTGTATAATATGTCACAGTAACGTTAAAAGTGGAAAACCGGACCGGTATTAGGAGCTATCTGCATGGTATAGTAAGATCATTAGCACGTTTTTGCTCTCCTGACGTTTTCACGTGGAAGCCATCCCAGTCCCCTTGAAAGATATTTTCGACAATGGGGTGTCTGTTAGAGTTTGTCGCAACATGCCACATTGGTTTAGTAAATGGATGTATTGCACTTGGCCGAATATGTTTCTTTGACCCAAGCCTTGTATTCAGCAAAACAGCTGCTGCCTGTTTAAGTGTTTTTTTGTTAGAAATGTGTTGTCTGTTTGACAGGGCCTGTCCTTAGCTTTATTTCACTGCTATTGGCTATAACTTTCTGTGTGTGCGCAGTTGAAGTTATCGCGGTGCGCTAAAAGCCGTGGCTTGCAGGGTTGCCAACTAACGGGATGAATTTGACACCGCCGTCAGCCCAGTGTGTCTTGTTGAGTGGAGTGGCTTACTGCGGGATGAAAGCCAGGGTCAATGGCTCCTTTTTAATGTAGCCTCTATGGCGTTCCCGCAAACGCGGGAGCCAACTAGCAAGGTAGTATTGTCGGTACGCGTATTGGAGTGTTAGCCGCGGCAGTAACCTACGCCCTTTCCCGTCTCCGGTCTTCTCGACCATTGTCTTGACATCGGATACAGATGTGAAAGTAGCGAGAAATTAGGGTAGATCCAGCGAGTCTTATTTCGATATAATCCAGCTAAAGTCCCACGTCTGACTTCAGCTTGCTAAAGATCGTGATGGACATCGCTGAGAGCGACGGTCGAACTGTCGCTTATCCATACATCTACATGAGAATAAGAATTTCTTTGGGAAATTTTTCAATTTTATTGCGTTAATTTTCGACACGGACCCACCGATCGTCGTCAGATGTAGAAAAATTTCCCAAGGAATTTCTTATTCTCATAATTAATATCTTGGGATGCAAATATTTCAATACATCTACATGTTTCATTGTGGCTTTTTTCATTCAAATTACTCTTATTGAATAAGGAGATTCAGCGTCAGAAACAGGCATAGCAAATTGGTAGCTGGAGATGACTAGGGACAACCGGAGGGAACGATTTTGAATGCGAGGGGAAACAAGGAGGAACTGAGACGGGGTACGATAACTGGGGTCTAAAATAAAGTTTATCATGGAACAAGGTTCATTGGCTGGATAGTTATGGCAGCTGCCCGAATC